TTATGACTACTCGGATGGCTACCAAACTCATAACGCATTCCAAGACTTAAATCAAGCCGGTCCGTCACAGGAATGACCAAATACACCTCGAATATGGTGACTATGCATAGGTTCTATAGAACTGAACTGTAACTGCGTCCGAATCTTGTGCCGTGTCAGGTCTATTGGGTCTGCCTGTTCAAAAACAAAAACATATAGGCATGTGCTTACAGTACAGATGTAGCCGTAGTTCCGGAAGACCGTTTCGCCCACAGTCTTAATTTTTCGGGTCACACAAAATATCCAACGCTACAGTTCCACTGTGCACATAGTACAGTGCGGCGCGGTCTTACCGTTTGTCGTCTGTTGGCTTCTTCGTTTTTTTAAGGGGAGTCAATACTGGAGGATCGACAATGAAGAACTGGACAACGGCTATCCACGCGATATCACCCCCAATTGGAGAGGTCTGCCGAACGACATTGACGCTGCCTTCATATGGAGCGGAAACAGCCGAGTGTATTTCATTAAAGGTACGCCACTGACTTACCGAAGGTCCTTATACCTGTATTCAGAGGTATTCAAATGAAGAAAAATATGTGACTACGTTGGCATCATCTGGTTGATATTGCCATGTTGTCAACTATAAAAAAATGCCCAAGTGCAACAGAAACGGGAATCAGCTCCAATACAATAGAAAAAGGGTAAAATGCCCAAGTGCAACAGAAACGGGAATCAGTTCCAATAGAATAGAAAAAAAAAGGTAAGGCAAATAAATATAGGGTCTCACAATAATTCCCTATTAAGAAGAATTTACTCTTTTTTTATTTTCTCCACAGTGTGGGTATTGGAGCTGTCACTGCAATATGCACTTTTACCGTTTTGTCAACACTCGCGCATGTTCTAAAATCAAACAGCTAACAGGTGGTCTCTAAATGTTTTTTTATCTGGGACAGAAACGGTAAAAATATGGGCATTTCAGCAAAAACTTTTAGGCATTGAAACTGAGGCACATAACCAAACAGTCTTTCGTGATTACTGGTTACCATTAAACTGCAAAAATATCGGATATGCCTATATTCTATCTTTGTGAGAGGTGCTCTGAGCTGGACGGTGCTTGTTAGCTTCACCAATCAATTGTACGTATTTGAGTCTGACTTTAATCTGACGTATTTAGTCGATTCTGACGTGCCAATGGACTTGTTTTGTTTGTTGATAAAGGTGACCGGTACTATCGCTTTTACGGTGGCGTTGAAGGTGGGTATCCCCGCCCGTTGAGTGTTTGGCGCATTCCGGGTAACCGGGTCGGGGCAGCCATGCAGTGGATTAACAGGCGGACCTACTTCTTGACCCCAAGTGGAGACTACTACAGGTTCGACGACCGGCAGTTCCAGCCAGAGCGCGGGTACCCGCGATCTGTCGCCGAAGTGTGGCAGAGGTGCTCCAGTAACCTTCAGGAACTACTGGAACCAAACGACGGTGTCAGTCTGGCACCTAGTCTCCTCGTCTTGATAATGGCTGTTTTGTTATTGTCTATTCCCTAACAAACCCCTGAAGCCTGTGCAGTTCTGATAACGGCTTTTTGCTTCCGAATAATTAAGTCTTCCATTCATTTGTGAATCTTTAACAACTGCATCTTAACCACTTAAAGGACAAGAATAGAAGGATATGTTTCTATCCGAGATACATAAAATCATTAGAAATAACAATCGCTTATACAGGAGTCATTAGATTAAGCTTTTGAAAGAAAATAAATTACACTGAGAAACATCGCTCTTTTCAATCTATTCCGGCTTTTTGATGCAAAGAGGGACTTTTGAAGATTTTTGTATTTGCAATGTTTTCGTCAGAATGTTTCTGTGAAACTTGACAAGGATAAAAAAAATATTTATTTTACGAAAAGTATAGCATGACCTATTCAAAATTTACAAAGTTAAACAAGTTTCATTTATGCCTCTTATAGTGCACAAAGCAATTTATTGACCAGTTTTTACTTTAAATTTAGTTTTTTATTTAGAGACTATACATCTTTTTTCCTCTTCACAGAAAATTGGTTATTGGGATCTGACGCCGGTAACAACTTGTAAATATTTTAAATTACTAAATTTACTCGACTATTGGTTTCCAAGGAAGACAGCCAAATTAATTAGAAATCATGCTATGCCTAATGGAAAATTAAAAAAAAAATCAGTGAATTGAAGGAACATTTCTAGCAGCCACTTGGAGATACCTTTTTCTTTTAAAGAGACAGAAAGAGAATTGCCGAACAGGAAGGGCCCATGTTTAGGACAAATGTTAATCCGTGTGTATTAAACCACCCTTGTGATGTCTCCACATTCAGTAAAGTGTCAATTATTCTTAAGAATGTATAGTTAACTGTAGATTCTTTAATAATTTTGTACATATTTAAAAAACCCTACATTCTTAAAACCTCACGAATCAAATTTCACTTCATAGACACAGAGGAGCAATTGTGACACTGAATTATTACAACGTCAAACAAACAAAAAACGCTCAGTTAAGTACACCATTTTAGATGTTCTGTACAAGTTACTGTTCTCTCTGAATTTTAGATTTGACGCTGTTATATTTTCTGTTCAGATTAGTTTTAGTTCATATTTTTTGTCCATTTTGCTTATTAAGATTTATATGCTACTTGTATAATTTTGATTATTTTATTATTTGCCTTTGTCTGTGTGCAGTTCACATTTAATCGAAAGTTTCATTTAAACCTCAGTCGTAACTCTCTTTCTGTTAATTAAAAACTTCAACAATGAAACTTCGTGTTTAATTTTGCAAAACAAATTAATCTTTTCGAAGCCTACCTATGGTACGTCCCAGACGAATAGGAAAATACTCCAAATGCACGTATCTTCCTGCGGGTGACTGAGGGGTTTCAGTAAATTAGCATGGACATGTAATTCCAAGGTCGCAAACGTTATCTCCGTTTCAAGAGCCAGTGAACTGTGGCTCCACATCAGCAGCTCGATAAACTTGCTTATTGGTGGTGTACAAGTCTCAGCTCCGTACAAACATATCGATAGCGATTTGATTACTTCAATTTAGCAAATATCCGCAGCTAATAGACATGAATCCATTTGGACAGTAAAACAGTGTGCCCTGCGATACACTGATGGGGCTAACTGCATGTCTCTGCGTGTGACTTGATAAGCATGTAAAGAGCACGTGAATGACAAAAAAAAATAGTTGTGCACCAGCTGAAGATCTAGCTCAATAAGCCTTTTGCAGGTTGAAACTGAATCACATCTGGAAGTACTGAGGTATCTGATTACACTTAAACATAACAATTTGAATTCCCCAGACTAAATCCACTGTTGCTACACCTCGTGATTCGGGCAAGGTTTTGCATAGTGACTACCATCTCTGGAACGGGCTTGTTCCTTTGTGCCCTTCTTATCAGTTGAGAACAGTGTATTGTTGCAAAGCGTCTTTATGTAACTAATCAAAAGCTTGCCTCGAATCCCGAGGTATAGCAACAGTGTCTTTAGTATGGAGAATTCAAATTGTCATTTTCACGTGAATTTAAGGACCCCGGTGTGCCAGATTTTATTCAAAATCAACTCACAAAAGCTTATTAACGGTTAGGGCCAGGAGTAATGCTTTTATCAGATGTACATGGCTAGCCAACGTTGGACACAATTGTCTATTAACTTCATGGCTGAAAGCATTAGTAAAGACGTTTTGTCTTTTTGGGCAATAGTGGAGGGAGGGATGTGGTTTAAGTCTGAGAAACGACTCAAAAGGTGGAATTTGTTTTTACTCGAATAGGCTCGGACACTTCCCGTCCTGGCCCATTCGAACTAAAGAATCTCCACTTTGTCGTTTCTCCAAATTCTCCTTAGCGTAAATTGAACTGACGCTTAAAACTATCTCCTCTTACAAAAGTCATGATTTGACACCAATGTGTTAGACGCGTCCTTTATTTCCATGGTAATTTATCCAACAAAATAAGGCCTCGAATCTGTAGCTTTTGGCCTTCAAACCTGTGACTTTGAAGCGAAGTCAACTGCGAGGGTGAATAAGCCGCCGGCTGGATGCCTCGGCTTCGATCAAAAATGCTCTGGTAGGTTTCTCGTTGCTGGAATAGGTATAGCCGTCGTTAGAAGTAAGATTTAGAGCAATATCGGATATGGGTGTTTCTTATAGACACAGAATGCCCGGGCATACCTATTAGTTTTTACCAAGCATCATTTTCAGAAGTTCAGCCGAAGTACCATGTACAGCTTATAGCATACCGCCAAACGTAACCTTAGAAAGCTGGATAACACGCGGTTTATTTGTGATTGTCTGGCAAACTTGGTGGGTTCAAACATGGGTCTGAAACATTTCGGACGACACATTTTCGCAAACGGGCAGAATTCTATCCAACGTTGGTCATAGACAATGACGGCCCCTCGACCATCGACGGTGTTGACAGGATACAGTAGTGATTGGAGAGCAATGGTGTAGATTACCTTGACCGGGTGATTCTAAAAAATCCTTTTGTTTTCTGTGTACTTCAACCGTTTGTCCGAGAGTTGTCTCCAAGTCGGCAAGGACACACAAGCAGCTGGTGGGGTTGGGACACAGGTTGGATTCCCCCCCCCCCAAAAAAAATGGAAACAACTCTCTAGCTTCTTGCATTTTTTATTGAGTTAAAAGCAATCACTTAACATTGAGAAAAGACAGCAGATAACAATTCTGTTAAAGTCTCAAATGACACTATATTGCATACTGTTTTATGCAACACGAAGCAAACGTCGTTTTTCTCTTTTTCGTCGTATGACTGAGTGAAACGTCTTAATCTTAAGTGACTTTAGGCCTGGTGTCCTTCCAGGGATAAAAGTAAAATGCGTGTCACCCTTTAGCTCGATTTTTTTTTCTGACAAATGTTTCAACTCCTTACCCATGGAAACCAGGTCACCAAATAATTCCTTCAAAGTAAGATTTCGTACTGACTGATGACGTCATTTATTCGCTGCATGCAGGCTTTCTTGTGTGAGCCAGACACTGTGACGTCATTGGTACAAATGACTACTAACTTCAAGGAAAATAATTCGCTAATACCTTTCTTAACACTTCAGGTCCGATGAAGTTTACGTGCTAATCAATTATGATTACATGTCAGCTTAACAAATATATGAAGTAAGGCTGAAAAAAATTAACAATTCAAAATTTAAATGCACTTCAAAAATGATATCATTTCCAGTCCCCTCAAACACATTTGCCGAAACTTATGTGCAAGTAAGTGTTGACTCACCTAAAACAACGTAGGAAAAAATCATGCCATCAAGAAGTGAAGTTCTTATATAGGTCCCGAGTAAATGAGAAAAGAAAGCGGTGTACCCCAAGATATTGAAAAAAAATGCATTAAGTAAAACGTCACAAAACGTCTGGTTTGCTCCTGTAGCCTTGAAGAAGATTTTTCTTTTGACATATGAATAGCTTGAAATCTCAATTTTATATGAAAACTTCTCTATTGACAGCAGATTTTAAAAATAATACGCTATACATTACAAAAAAAAACCGACAAGACTGAACTCTCGATTTTTAAAACATTACAGTTCATGCATGCTATGATAGTTACACGTGCCATACTAATGAAACACAGCAAGGAACCGAGTTGTATCCAAGTCAGTCGCACGCTTAGGTGTTTGCCAATAACCATCGAGTTGGTGCACCGTCAACATGCGATTCTCACGTTCAACTTGCCTTGAAAAATGTCAAAAATGCCTTTCTGGAAGTTTTTTGGAAGATTTCTCGACCATGTACCATGCGGCTGACTACAAGTGACGGGCGTTTAAGTACCGCATCCCTCACCAGTGAGCAACTGCCGCTTCAGTTCCACGAGTTTCTCGACTATCCGTTTCCATTTGCCTCTTGTTGACTGTTGCTGAGTGGGATATTTATAGAAGAACATCCTTTCATCGATTACATAGGTGAACCTGTCAAGCACAAAGAAAACCGAAACCTATGAGCAACCAACCTAGGCCAACCACTGAAAAGCACAATACGCAATCTCTCATTAAAAGAGCCACAGTCCTTTAAAAAAGTACATCTAGACCGCAGGCCGGAGAACACCCCCACCGATAGTGGGAACACTGTCTGAAATATCGCACACTATAAAAAACACCAGCCAGAAACAATGTATCCCCTATCACCTAAAAGCACTCTCATGGGTACGATTTCCTTGAAAACCACGTTACAATGCACAGGTACTCACACTTCCTGTCCCATGTCATCTTTAGTTGGTAATCCTCCGCTGCCAATCAGCAGGTATTTCAGTCCTTCCTCAAGGTTGGGAGTTTCACAGGTTTTGCTCTTTACGAACGTTCGCGTGGTATCTTCCACCACGTCATCCAGCCCTAATAATGATCAGCGTACAATGAGGCGGTAGAGTTACAGCACATCTGAGTAAGCTGAATACTAAATGTTCATTACGAAAGAAATGCCGTATTTAGAAATACTCTTAGGGCTTTACTTCTGGCAAAAAATAATTTGTTGAAGCAGACTATGTTCCAGTCTTTTTTATTTATAAACCTAATTTCTCGGGGAGACTGTATTTCAATTTCACCCAAAAGTCCTGCCCAAGTTCATTTTTAAAGCGATACTTTTTACTAAGAACCTTTTCAGTGCAACTTTTTCTACAAGGAACTTTAAGCACTGATACCACGTCTTAAACAATATCTGTGTGCTATTCTGGATTGTGAACCTTCGGATTGCAGTTGAAAATGTCAGGAAACAGGAAACACGGCTGATGCAATGAGACATTTTAAATTCTACGCCAGAATATGTTCGTGGACAGAAGAGTGCAGGAAACGACGAGTTACAATACTCAAACCCTTGACACCATCCGTCTGAAACAATGCGGTGTTATTCTATAAAGGCAAATGCAACTTGATCCCCTGTTGTCCTTTACTTCGAGGGCACTTTCTGATAACCTCTTCGTTTTAAAACCTAGAAGACAAATTAATATTCCCCGAAGCGTCTTAATATATCCCCACCTTGCTTGAGAGGAGCGCTAATTCTCATTGTGTAGAATTTGAAATTGCCTTTATCCACCACACCGTCGACGATTACATCGTACGCTAGTGGAGTAAAAAAAGTGGAAAAAATGTTATTTACAGCCGAGTTTATTGAAGTAAGGACATTACTCTACTCAAATGCTGATGGCAACATAGATTGCTGAATACACACATGTCAAAGTGACATTTTTCCTCAACCAAATGTCCATTTTCCTGCTTCTTTTTAAACAAACAATAAAGACGAATGATAACAGAGCCTACATTCAACTCCGAGACAAAAAAACTTCCATAGCAGCACTCACCAAAATGGGCCTGGGATGCACATGCCATTTGTTTCAGGTTGTAAACGTTATAGTCACGTGATTTGTCCGTCGGGTCAGGCGCGCACTTTCCTGTTTGAACAAAAAACGGGGCTTCTAATAACTCCAGGAATTTACTCAATTTAATTCTTTGCTTTGCCACTTCTATATTTAAAAAAGGGAAAATGAACGGGGTAAACCATCATTTTTATTGTTTAGAGACGATTTAAAATGATATTATGCCTTAAACAGTTTCAATTTCACCTCTAACGCAAATTCTGCTAAATTCAGTACTAAATGGGGCCTTTTTTCTTTGCTTTATAATTGATTAATGTCTAATGTGAATTGGCTGTGTTTTAATTTCTCCTCTGTGTTAAATCTAATGTAATACACAAGAGAAATAAAAGACCCGGAGTTGGGGGGAAGGGGCTGGATTATTTCACCAAGCTAATTTCGAATCCTCGGTCTGTCGATGGGAATGGTGCTCCTAATTCTTTCATGTACTTGTAAGAAAAATATACTCCTCCCAATCGAAAACTGAAATCCCAAACCTACCACTGGCATGCGATTGTGTCACAGCTAGAGTAGCCTGCATTATAAAAAACGCTTGCTTCCTTGACTGTGCCTTCTCTTTGAACAAGGCTTCCAGCAACCAAAAGTGTAACGTGGCAAATGCGTTGCAAAACGTGAGGGAGTGAACATGTAGATAAGACGCATGATCGGGTGGTGGGACTCACTATTCTCTGGTATGTTTTTTTTCCGAAAAATCAAACGAAACTTTGTAAACGTCGATTAAAAAAGAGCTCACCTGCGGCACACACACAAGTGTCTCCCTTGCACAATGTCCCTAGCATGGCGGAGCCTTCTTTGGGACTTATGAACTTCACACACTCCTCGGCTTTATCAAAGAGTTAAAAGATAATTTTTGGTGAGTATTTGGAAACATGACTTGAAATGTCACACGGACAGTAAAGAAAATGAATGTCTCTAGGAAGGAGAAGCTTCCACACTGAACCTCGTCCAAGTGTGTTGCTTGATCGACACACGATACACATGGTGATTTCAGGTCAAGGTTGTCCTACGTGAGATACTTGAGCACGTCCAATTTAATTGGTTCAAGCGAAAAATACTCAAACTTTGATGGGCGTCAATTCATACTTACTTGGATTGTAGTAGTCATATACGTGGACTGCGACAGGTTGGACCTTACCCACTTCAAACTTGCGTTCAGCGCGGAATCGGATGCGCGTCGTTTCCAACCCACGGATCTACCAGGAATAAAAAAGAATCGAAACCAATTGATACATTTACTAAGTTGACACATTTTTTTGCGATAATGGATATTACCTTCTTCTTGTGCAGTTACAATGAGGTAAAATTTGCTCTTTTTTTCTGGAACTGCAAACATATTTTTAAAGACGGATTTCTGTTGGTGGTTTCTTAACTACTCCTTGTCCTTTCATTTTGGATCACTCGCACATCAAATTGCATCTCAAAACTCTTTCTTATCCGGGACGGGGAAACCTTGTTTCCACCTACCTCGGAAAGCTTTGCTCAGGTTGAACACAACCTGCCTGATGAGGACCTGCTTTGCTCTGAGGTTAACACAAAGATGTTGGCACATCCAGGCAGGTCAGGCTGCACTAACGATAACTGGTGGTATCAGATGAACGTCCCATGTGAAATCAGTTTGGCCATTGTGACACCACTTACCTCTTCAAAGTAGAAAACGACCGAGTGATCTGTCGTCTCATATCGTTGGATCTGGCCATCACTGTTTTCCATCTCCTATGGGCACAGAATCAATAAGAGGAAATAAACGGAGTAGATAAAATGAAAAGAAACATGCTAAATTCTGAAACGCTTATTTCATTGTTGAAAAAAAGAAATTTCCGTATTCTGTCTATATCAGCAAGTTTAGAAACATGGTAAACAGTGTGATTAAGAAACTTGATACAAAACGTTTCATTGAGGAGGGACATCCCTCACCCTTTCCAAGTCTTCCTCAATCGCGGTGTAGCCGGTGAACAGGCCAACTTCTAAAATAGCCATACCCGTATTCCCGCCTTGTAGGTACCTGGAAAACGAATCTGTCATATTAGTGTGTGAATATTGCCACAGTCAACAAGGCTTAGCAAAGATACATGGGCATACAGTATTCACCAACACATTTCTGACATCTGCAGAGAAACACTCGAACTGGACTTTCCCCTTCAGGTTTCCTTTTCAACTTTGCAACCGTCAACAACCTCGACCTGCTTCTCGGCACAAGAATTGGAAAGAACCCCTCTCTCGCAGTGGGTTCATCTGCACTTAATTGTAAATTGTTTACATGCAGCTAGCATTATGTGGATTGATGTATCAGCAATAACCAGTTTTTATAGTGAACCGGGTGAACCAGTTCCCGACTAAAATTTACGAGGAGGGTTGCTCCTTTAATTGAGGTCTAACATAACATATAAGGCAGAGACTTTGGACAGCAGATTGTATCTTGGAATATCGAAAAGGTTCCTTGTACAAATGTTACAACATTTTCATTTGAACATTCGTTTTCATTTTTCATTCAGTTCTGCTTATACCTATCCGGAGTACTTGCCAACAGAATGGTTGTAATAGCCAACAATTGTTATACCTCACTTGTATGTCGTACGAAAAGTATTCCTTATCATCGTTCTCTTGGAGATCGACCTGAGGGTTCTCATCCTCGTTGATCTCCAGCTCAAATTCACAGTCTTCTATGTCGGGCTCAGGGGTGTAGTATGTAGCTTCAAACTAAAAAAAAGGTTGTAAGCAGCTAAATATATAGATCTTCAAGCTTACCGGTAATCATACTTTTTCGAAGAAGTTCTAGATAACCTCCCACAGCACAGACATATCCGTTTATAATTGCAAGATATTTATTTTAAATCACGTGTCGTACCTGAGATGCTTCGCGATTTTAGTTTCTTTCTGAAGAAAAATTAATGAACAGTGAGCAAAGAGCTGCACTCAGGGAAACTCGTATCCGAAACACTTTACGACACGATAACACTAGTGGTATGGCACCTATAGTCTCTTGTATTGGCACCTATAGTCTCTTGTATTGGCACCTATAGTCTCTTGTATGGCACATATAGTCTCTCGTATTTTAAAGCTACAAATCGAAACGAGTATCATGACACTGATGGTCTGGAGCCAGACGATTCACGGCACCAACCTCCCCTAATTACAAAACCAGATGCTTATGAAACTTTAATTATGATACCAGACATATTACACTAATCTCAATACAGTTTTGAAGTGTTATACATGCGCAACGCATTCATGCCTGAGGACAACACAGACGTAAATACAGGAGGGGAATATACCCCCACCTTTTGACCAGGGGGATGGGCGATTGAATCAACCCCGACACTTTTTGTGCTGAGAAGTTTAGGTACATTGTGAAGAATTTTTTGGACCTCCTAACAATCAAAATGTATTTGTAAATGTTATCCCTCAAAAAGGGAGCACGTTTAAAAAAAAGGCCATGAATATGCCGATTTGAAATTTGGTTCTGCAGATGTATATCGGTAGCATGAACATCAAACTCAAACGCATATGGTCTGAGCACCCCCGCCCCCTAATTCCTGACACATTACGAGTGACTCATGATAGTGCCCCCCAAGAAGTGAGAAATAGGTTTGCGGGTACACCATGGAATCAATCTCTTTTTGGGCGAGGTGTGGTTCTGAAAAGAACCGGTGAGTGTTCTGGCCGTCCTCAGGAGAGGACCTATTGCTCAGTTCGCAACGCGTTGACCAATCGCAGTGCGCAGAATTTGTCGACCCTTTCCAAACGCGCCTCGAGTCGACAGATTTCGCGCACTGTGATTGGTCAACGTGTTGCAAACTCTTGGAGGCGCACTACTGTGAATCGCCCCTATTGATACCACTGCAGCAAAATATCGTACAAAGCCATTTGGAATAGTATTACCGAATAAAATTAGAGTCATGAACAGACGCACGGCCGACTCACTCTGGAAGGAAACTTACTTTGAACTGGCCCAAGCCTGATCCCGATGAAGTGACATACACATTGAGCTCCCGGCTGCTTTCAGGAACCTAAGTAAACACACAATTCACTTGTAGTAATAAAACAATGGTTTGGAGTGGGTTATGTGGGGTGGGTCGTCAGGAATGGTTGTTGGGCCAGGGTTTAAAAGTTGTTGGCAGATGTTGTGTATGTTTTTAACTTGGTCTTTTTGTCTTCTCGCTACATGCAGTTGTCTTTGTTGTTATTGTTGTCATATTTGTTATGCTTTTTTTATAGTGTGCCCCAAAGAGTTTGCGACGAATTGGCCAATCACAATGCGCTAAATTTGTCGACCCTTTCCAAACGCGCATTGGGTAGACAGACTTCAGGCATTATAATTGACTGTTGCATTGCAAACTCTTGGAGGCGCACTACTGTGAATCGCCCGTTGTATCTGTGCATTTATTTTAGGCATTATGGTTTTAGATGTTTTTAATTACGATGTTTTCCGTATCTTATGATTCTAAGGTTCTTGTACAAGTACATATTTTGTTGATCTATTTTTACTGGATTTTTAATATACACAGTACATTTGAATTTATTTTCAATGAAATTTGCGCTTTTTAAATTAATAAATTATTATCAGTATTTTTATTATCAATTCAGTGGTTTTAGCCATACAAAAATTAAACCATTTTGATACGCATGAAGCAAGATTTATAGATTTTGATCTGCTTACACTCGTTTGATTTGTTTCTGTTTAAATAAGGAGTTCTCGTATTTGTAATGCGAGTTTCACCTCATAGTAATACTGTTGGCCTCCCAAGAACTAAAGGATCACACTAAACTACAGGTAAAGAATAGACACTGACAATGCCCTAAAAGTTTACTACTCTAAAATACTACGGCTTACTACTCTAAAATATTGCATCCTAACCAATGAATTCCACGAAACCCCCCCTACAATATTAACGAATACTTGGACATCAGAAATTACCACAATACAACAAAACATATGGCTGTTGCGTTAAGAATTGCGAAGTAAGTTAAAATGATAGATGAAGCTGTCAAGTAAGTGTACAAATTTATTACTTTGTTGGATGAATGCGTTTTCTACGTGAATATACCTGATGTAGTTAGGACTCCTGCTGTACTGAACTGAACTCTTTTAAGGTAATTAGCTCATCCCCGATGAGTCATATATTTTAATTACAAATATGTCCTCATTTCAAACCCCTTAAAGGCTAAAGACACCGAATGCAAAGATTACACTGCAGTTGTAGCCAAACTACAGGTACCGTGATCTCCCTACAGGCAAGTCAGTCTTTGTAACTTGACTGATTGAAGAGCGTTTGCTATTTAGCGACCAACTCACACGAAGGGCTTCGGCCCGGCGCACCAAAGCATCGTCCGCGGTCAACTCGAAGTTTTGATCAAAGTCACTCTGCTCACACTTGACTGTGCACTCAATATTGACTTCATATTGTTGCACTCTGTAGGCGTATTCTGACAAAGCCTGAAGAGCCATAACCGTGTCCTGAAACCAGAAAGAGAGAAAATCTTTTGTGCGAACCCATAAACCTAATTGGATTTCTAACAAAATTGCTCAACAAAGGTTTCATTGTTGTGGTGAATGAATTGAGGTATTGTGCATTGCACCTGTTGCATACAAATGTCTTTCTCTTGATGGACAGCGTAGAAAAAAAGTCACCAAAAATTATCAAAGATATGGTCAAGTGGGTATTAAAGAAGCATGTGTTTATTGCTTTATGATATGCCATGTCATTCTGTATAAGCAAGAATGTATGTCACAACAGAAAGCTACATTTTATGAAGCAAAACCAACCTATGCACGATGGCAAAATGTTTATTTCTGTTCATTTTAACCATGCGAATCTTCTTGGCTTAACAGTCATGGCGACTGCCAATGGCTTCTGGGATATCCTTACCTGCGTGGACACGAACCCTCCATTGTAGTTCTCCTGATTACTCAGCCAGTTCACAATAGCGTGCGTGTACGGGATGTCGTCTACTGTGAGCAGTGCGAGCAAGGCGTAGCTTGTAGTCTCAACCTCGATGGCCTTCGGTCGATAGCTATACCAGTAAGGCTTCTGGCCACCACCGAACGAGGAGTCGTCCGCCGCCCAGTAACGAGAGCCTGTGACCACACAAAAAGGAATTATGTCCTTTTAAGGATATCCTTACTGAGCGGTCGTTCTGTAAAGAGTCTAGAAGCTGCGTGCGCACGCCAGCAGTAATTAAGACACAGCACCAATGTGAACACACTTGTGTTTACTCTAAGTGTAACAAATAAACAAACCAGAATATTAAGCCTTAGTGGGAAATGGGAATGCTTCACTTCACAAGGGGCTCGGGCTACAGTGATCGGTGGTAGGTGTCTGTGCCCGGTCTGTGAGCCAGTGTAATCTTGTAGAAACAATGAAAAAAAGTGCATTTTATGTAAAATAGAAAATTGTGAGAGATAGTAAACAACCTCTATAGTTGTCAACCCCACGAGCATTAAGTTGTTACATTAACTTCAAACCAAGGTGATGTACAAGTCACTTCAACAGATTCCTAGGTAATTCCAAACCACAGTCCAGTAATTCATGGCCTTACGGCTGCGGTTGTAAACAAATAGCGATAGGAAACAATCGGCTTGATCCAATCGCACCGTGATGTGGTGTGCTAGCAGTGTATGTAACATCTGGAATGGCTTATAAACCTGATCATGGCACTGGTTACTGATTATTACCCAGTGGAACAGCGTAAAACTAGCTGAAGTTCTAAGAGGAAGCAATTATGTAGGCCTACCTGACTAACTGTCTTACCTCCGGCGTATGTAGCACAATCCTTGAGCATTCCTATGGCCTCTCCTGCCTTATCGCTGTTGGCGAGAGCCAAAGCATATGCCGTGATGGCAATGGCGTATGGGCGTGTTAACTTTTCAAGTTCTTCGCCCAGGAAGGTAGTTGCACGAGCTACAGCATCGTCTTTGTTCTGGTGATAAAACGAAACCCAGGAAGATAACCCAGCATCGGCAGTGATACGTGAGAGTTAAACATTTTTTAAAAGCCCAGAACAACGCTGTAACGGACACACAGGCAACAAATTCTTCAATCACATCATTAGCACTGATACATTACATGACTGGTAAAGGTTGACGGTGGGCACGTGGACTTGTTTTCAGTGTACGCAGACGCACCACCAACCGACTCATACAACAAACTTTTTTTCAGTTTGAGTTGAACTAAGGAGGAAGAAACCATCCAGACTTCACAGACGGGGTGGGTTCAGTAGTCCGAAAGTGTAGTACATGTAGTCCAAACCTTTTAATCCCAAGACTAATTCAAATACACAAAACTTTCAACCTCCTTGGTGCTCTTCAGTTTCATATCTCAGAATTATTTATTTACCACATCCAACAGCGGAGGGATCGCCATTATGCATTAGGGTGGAGAATAGACTTGGTAGAGCTCATTTACATGTACAGGCGTCCAAACAGTGGTACGATACACAGTTCCGCGAATGCGTAATAATATGGTGCCTTACGGTATCCCGCAGATGCATAGGAAGAAGTCTGCTATGGCTAATCAATACAGAACATCAGCACTGACGGGGGTTTGCCTTTCTTCGATTGTCGTATCCATTGGTTGTTGACGGCAAGAATAAATGTCAGCTACCTCGCGGAATTTGGTCCAGTTTATTTAAAATACGTAATCCTACTCAAAGTGCGAATTAGGCCAAAGCAGACAAAAACGAAAGGTGAAAACTCACAAAGGTATCGCATTCGCATTCCAAGAGAGAGATGAGAACATATGCAGTCAGTGAAGCTTTGCCCTGGACACCTCCCTGCAGAAAACGATCGGAGTAATGAGCATGAGTGTATCTTCATTGGCATTAAATGTACAAATGCGCTCTGCTGAAAAACAGCTATAGGTGCTACAGCCAGCCTCAGCATTAGATGTACCGCTTTCGTGGTCAAGTATAATTAAGAGAATGTTTCACAGCACAGGTACCGCGCCAGGTTCTGCATACCTGAATCACCTTACTTTGAAATTTGTAAAAAGCGCAAAACGTGTATGCAAGCTGCGGTATGTGTTTTCAGCTTATTAAAAGATGCAGTATCCCCAGGCGTCCCTAGATTGTGCCGTATAGTTTGGCCAGTGACGCTTGGACGTGCTGAAAACCATATTCTCTGTGATCAGTGTGAGGTGGCGGTAGCATTATACTCACGGTCATCTCTCTGTGGTGCACTCTGTAAGTCTCACTAAACGAACCGTCGTCTTGACTCTGCGTCTGAGTTATCAGCCACTCCATTGCCTTACAGATTATTCTCTCATCGACAAAGGCAAACTCTTTCGCCTTGCAGAAGACCTTCGCAACAAAAGCTGTTAACCTACAATTTGCATGCAAAAATCACATAACGTAAAGGTAGGCCTGAGTCAATTCGAATAATTCACTATTTCAATATTCGACCTTCAACATGACTGAATATCCGAATATTAGGCGGATTGTTGATGAATAAACCCTATAATATTACAAAATCAGTTGCAATAACGTACACAATTGTACACTATGACCAACATAATAGCTTCTCTCTTCTAGGGGAGCATCAAGCCACGATTTAGCATGATTTAACAGACAATTTTTTTTTTCTTTTCCTGTTGAAAATTTCTATTCCTTTTAGATTTTTAATGAGTATTTACTTTTTGAATTGTTGTAAGATACATTATTCAGTCGATTTTCATTTGAATCTACTTAAAACAAACCTCCACAGAGCGCTTTTTTTAATTCAAAACAAAGGAAAATTCTCCCTTTCATGAATTTGGCTTTCGAGAGAAAAATATAATTCGGAGAATAATATTCGAATATTTGATAGTCATCGATTATTTGGATATTCGGCCCAGCCCTACGTAAGGGGCATAGAAACAAGGGCTAGTGACTTTCATACATTCATATTCGCTGGAGTTTAGTCTGCATATACCAAAGTACCAGACAACTAATAAATAAAGTAACTGAGAAGTTCGACATTATCATCACAGTATAAGGAAGACTTGAGAGATCGGCTGTTGCGAGCAGTCAGAACGACTCTAGCACGTTGGTTTCATGAGTTGGACAAGGTGCAGGTGTAGCCCAGCTAGGCATTGGCAAATGCGATTTTCAAAACTCTCACACTCTACAGGCACCCTTACTTTTGAAAAAGCAAACGATGGATATGTAATGGAGGATGTGGAAATTTTAATGCATAATATTACCATGTGCTGCTATCGTAATTTGATGGCCAGACAGAAAACGACCCGTCGTCTTTACGGAAAGTAAGCTCACGTTTAACTCCTAAAAAAGACCAATCACAAACATTCTACGTAATAGGTATCATTTTGAGCAAACTGATTATTACAAGAAAAATGAACTCTATAATCCATCACACTTGCCTTGAATGCCCTGCACACTGATAGAAAAAAATGCCGTTTCCCTATGAAGTTGTACCCTTTCGTTAATTTATGCATTGCAGATTGAAATCTACATGCATTTGGATTCCAAATGTCTAATATGTTCTATTAATGCTTGGGCCCCGTCTCATCAGAAGACCGTTTCGCTTTATCAGGGAAACTTCTCACTTAAGAATGTTTTTAATGGTGTCACAGCTGACAAAACTATCCTTTGAGTCCACTCATAAATTGAGAGTGCATTTCAACGTGGACATAGTGCATAACTAATCCCGGGTGTAATTTTAAACAACTAAAGAGCCGTCTCACCGTCTGCTATGTACTGCCGTGAGGCGGTCTCCAAGTTGGCAGTGAACTGATCAGTGTTTTTCAGATAGGTGTAGACGTAGACATTGGGCCCCAGCCCGAGCATGGTCTGCTCCCCGCAGCCTGTGGGGATCCTCAATAGTTTGTCCAGGCCTCCCAGTACAGTTTCAACGACGCTTCCCAGCACGTTACCTGGTAAAAATCAGTCAACATTCTTTAAAGTATACAAAAAATGGGAGGGCGAAGCAACTGAGCAAGGAAAACCCTCTAACTGTATTACGCTGATTACACAAGCGACACCTTTGACTGGTTATTTGGCGCGTAATTTTGAAGCAATTATTCCCGCGCGTAAGGATTATGTGATTTTTGCTAGTCATTGAAGGATGGCTATTTCAGCAGGCCAGCCAGCCAAATTCTGTGTGCATATTTTGAGAGTGCACAAATAAACATGTCAAGTAATCAAGGATTATTGGTCACTGATTAGCCTAGGGAACTGACAAAATGTGATGAAATGGACATGTCCTTCCAAAATAGGTGTCCCAGAATGTTTTTCTATTGATTACATATCATCAACACTGCTGTTCATTCTCAAAAAGGTTCATTTTTGCACACATTAAAACTGCTCTCAACGCAGGTTGGACTGAGGGTCTTGACTGCTCTTACTAATTTATAGTGAACGGTTTATACTTCTGGCAAATGCGAGATAGAAGCGAACTTGACGTCGCGACAGAAATGCAGCGACACTTAGCTCGAGTTGAAATGTGCTCATCTTTTGCGAAGTCGCAGCGCGCCTATTTTATCTGACGTCACAAATTCGCATTGTTGTGTGCTTTCGCGCGAAGCAAGAAACGGCCTCAACTGATTTTCAAAGAGAGTGTGCACTGGAATGGAGTAACAAAACCACCTACCGATTAGACTCATTCGGGCGCGTTGGGTGCCGGGGATTGCTGCTCCGTTGATTGTGTACCGAATGGCGTCCACCTGCTTCTCTTCTCCCACGTTACCCCATTGCTCTGAATCGCAAATCCATTGTCAAAATATGTAGTTCAAAACATGAGGATTACAGGTTCGGAGTTGCTTCACCCCTGTTCAGGATTTTTAGTATCTCTCAAAAAGAAGTGTAGTTTTGGATGGCAAGAAGTGAGAATGAAAACGTAAATGCAAGGGAGGGATTAACGGATTAACGAGACGTATACATTCTGCCACACAGTAGCCACTTTTAGTTTGGGTAGTGGATATTTAGCCGTTGCCAGCAAACTTAACAACGTTTTGCCAGGCATATGTGCAGTTACTGTTTTTTTTTTACTTTATCAAGATACTGTGACAAATCTCAGTTTGGTTCTGAGTCAACATTGTCGTTGGTGACTTCGTATTCACAAGGTGTCAATCAGGCCATTTCATAATTTTGGACCTTTTCTCCTTGAAACACGCCTCCAAACCCAAGTAATTAAATGTTTGAGTCAAGTTCACTACACCACTGACTTTACTTGGAATCTGGTGATAATATAATAACCGTTATAGCCTAACTCGTTTCCAAGCATCAAGGGCGCTGTCCACTTGTAGCTGGCTTCTTAAATGTGCTGGTGACAGCTAATTAAATATCCACTGTCTTCAGTTTTCATGTAACACATACCCATTAACTAGTAAAGTCCCGACAGTTGATAAGCTGTTGTAGGTGAGAGAGAGATAGCATTCTATGAATACAGGTAGGCCCTAACGCTTTACGAGGTCCAGTATCCTTCAGCTTTGAAACAAGTCCGATATTACTGTGTCTGTTAATGCTCTGGACTATTAACAGTCCACAACCTTAGCACTTCCAGTGATACGAAGGGCGTGTCTACAAACTCCCACAACTTATACTTGGAACAGGCAAAGACCATTTGCACAGCATTTATACAGGTAAGTCAAAGTATGACTAATGCAGATTACTGAACCTGGATTGATGCTGGTAGAAAAGGCATTAACAATCGTACCTCAAGGGCATCAGGAATCCTCAATCTGGCCTTTGAGTATTCCAATGTGAGGGACAAATGCAAAATAGTATGGGGACAGGTATATCTTACGTCTGTGCTCGTAGAACAGATCTTCGCCTCCATTCGTGCTACTATCTGACCCGCGGGAATTTGCGGGGTCGAGTATTACCGGAACCACAATCTTCTTCTCGAATCCCTCTGGCTGTATGGACCAAAAATAATCCAAACAAAGGGAGGCGTTAAAACCTTGAAACGCTGCATGAGAAGAATAAACTCATTTAAGGTGTGTGTCTGATCAGATCTGGGGCAGCAGATCCAATCTGACAGCTCAAGTCGCAAATCTGATCCGATTTGAGGCAATCTGATGGCCTCTGTAGCTCATTCTAAAAGAGAAACCTGATCCAAATCCAACATAAATACAAACTTACATACACAGGAACTTATCCAATTTCACGGTTCAGCAAGTTTGCTGCAAGAATTAACAAATTGCTTGCCACTGTTAAAGACCTACACATTCAGTTCACGGTCGTGAAATGAGAGATTTTGTTTTTTGTTCTCATACCTGCAAGAATACCTACGAAACCACCAATATTGAATGACGTAAAACTGCCAGATACCCCATTTAGCCTGGAATGTATGCACTTGCGTTAAGCAGAAAGGCATTGGCAGAACAGCCCATGCTTTGGGAAGAAAATATGCTGAATAGTTTAACGTGAGTGATACCTTCCCATGTGCCCTTCATGCACAGTTAAAGGTCTTAATGGGTGAAACTCGAGTGCTCGTATCATTACTCTATCGAGAAAGACGTGTCGCATTACACCGATTCTACAAGAATTGCATTAGTTGCCTGTTAAGGTCAGAATAATTTAAAACATGCTTTTATTTGTCTATAAGGTCACTCCACGGTCTTGCTCCAGCATATATTGATGACTTATTACAATCCCACACGTAGACTTCGATCGAGTAATATGAATCTTCTTAGAGAACCCAGGTCATTTTATTATGGGGAGATCGCTCTTCTTCATGTGCTGCACCTTGTCTTTGGAACAATATATCCCCTTCTCTCCTGCAGTTTAGGGAGGATCTGAAGGCTCATCTCTTTAATGAGGCACTTAATAAATTTCATTGTATTAGCGCCTTGAGCACTTTGGTGGATTTGTGCGCACTGAAAATCGTCCGTATTATTATTATTAAAGTACAAAGACCCAAGTCAAGTGAGAGAGGGTTTGGGTTACCATGAAAAAAGTGTTGCTGACGATACAAAGCCATGCCACATATAAGAACGCGTTACTGGTGATGATAGATGGCTTCATGCTTTTTTAACATTTTGAATTTAAAGCAAAGTCAGCTTTGGACAGATTAAAGGTAAGCCTGTAGGATGATCAGTCCAAATTGATATTATACAATATCAAATCTAAACGGACGGAACAAACTTGAACCCAATCCAACCTGATTCCAATCAAGTCTGAAGTGCACATCTTTGAAATGTTTACAAGGTTTGCGGCACTGAACACCACGGAGATCCATCTTTGAAATGGGAAGGGATACAAAATCTGAGAACTGAACAATTGGTGGAGGACTTTTATTGCAGAACGTTTGGTCGAATAGCCTGTACCGATGAAGGTCAAAGGGCGGAGAGCAATGCAATGACCAGAGGAGGAGGTTTATAGATAATGGATTTGGTGCCCCTCTTTCATTTGAACCTTCTAACGCTATCAGGAAAGGGGGCACTCAAGAAAAGAAAGCTTTGGACCACCGTTAAACTAATCATTCTATGGATCATCCTGTAAATTTGCTGCATTTGACAAATTTCATCTTTTGAAAATCACAGCAAGGTGACAACCTACCATCGCCGAGCATTGAGGTGATTAGAACTTTGGGTGGTTCCAGCCACGTTAAGCGGATTCGAACTTAATCTATGATGCTACATTTATCTCAGTTATCCCCACTTGCTGGTGGGCAGTTTGCTGAGGAATGATGGTGGTGACCTCGAGAATTTACCAAGCCCATGCATGTGCATCCTCCAAAAGACCGACGAGATTAGATCTCTCTTGAAGGTTCACAGAATCAGAAAACATTTATTTCACGTGAAGTATTTCAAAATAACGACAAATACGTAACCATTTCAAAAACATCTTAAATTCAATTTTTACCCCATTATTTAATCGTGATCTGGACTGAGTAAAAAGATCCTGCGTTTCCCCGCCCACAAAAAAATCATCAACAGGCAAACACTGTCTCGGTTCAAGGTAGAAATTAAAAGATACAGTCCTAGCTAGCACAGTGTTTGCTAGTGGACAAAGCTACATGGAACACATTGTGGTCTGCTGCAAGCGTGCGATACTCCATGTACTGTGTGAAATCATACAATATATATTTATGTGTACACTGTACATGCGGGCGTTCTGCCGATGACGTCATCATATCAGCCTGGGAACGCGAACGGCCAAAGGGGGATTTTTTGTGGGCGGGGAAACACATCTATTCATTCAGTTTGGGGTCACGATTAATGACGTAAACACTGAATTTGTGATGTTTCTGAAATGGTTAGTATTAATTGTTATTTTGAAATACTTCGCGTAAACAAAATGTTATCTATTTCTGTTAACCTTTAAAACCTCACGAACACACGCACACAAAGTAGAAACTTAAAAACTCACGCGAACAGTCAAGTGCTTTATGATACCATCTTGGTATCCTCCCGTCTTGTCCACGGCAACGATTTCTATGGGGACGTCCTTGACCTCGAGTGGTACAATGACAAACTTGATAGAGGCGGGCCTCTTCGGTCTAACTTCGATGGTTGTGCCTTCTGAGTATTCGTCCGGTTGGGCCACTGAGCAGAGTCCGTCCTTGCCTTTCAAATAGATGGTGACCTAAACGCAGAATTGAAAGCAGGGGGGGTGAGCGCTGTCTAGGAAATCCTTAGTAAGGGTTCGTGATAAGGTGACGTCCAAGCGGCTACCGGCATTTGTCCTTCGTACCATGCTTGTTTTATGATTGTGGATACGAGGTAAAAAGGATCACCTAGCCAGGCTACTGTGATTGTTTGTGGCGCAGTAAATTTAGCTTGCAATTGACTGATGTGTAGTAAACATATACCATGCACACACCTGGCATTTTCGTCAATACCTAAGAATATATGAACTTGCCTCTAAGACACGGTCGGCATAGTTGAACACGGTCGCGACTATCTCGATCTGCTCGAAGCGCTGGACCGAGTAGGGCATGCCAAGGTCGAGGAAGAACGGAGGGCGGACCTCCAGCTTGATGGGGTTTGCCACGCACATGCCGAAGTTATCTGAGACCCCAACAGCCTCAATGACCCAGGTAGTGACACTGTCAGGCAGAGTAGACTGGTGAAGTGCTCTACCGTCTTCCTCTCCAAGAGGTCTGCCAAAGACATGGACGTGCAAAGGAAAACAGGTGATAACTCAACGCCAAGCTGTAACAGTTTTCTTTCTTTAGCTCCACTTGAAAAAAAGGGAATCTTCTTCTGGAACGTATTTCAACATATTTAACTCGGTTTCTTACCGGTAGTTTACATGTGCATGTAAGGGGTCGTTTTATGTGACTGGTATCATGGTTTTTTCTCGTATTCTTAGGAATCAATCGATTTTGATTTTAGATGTTTTTTTATGAGTTTTTATTCATATAATTTTTCTGCACATACTATATTGGGGTTGAATATATGTGCAAATGGTAACCCATGTGCGTGCATTTTGTCTTTCAATTTTAGGTATTGTTAACTTGTACGTAAGGAAGACAACAATCATGAATTTCTTGTTAATGGATTATGAATAAAAACATAATTATCATATGTATATAAATTAAACAAATATATTTGTAACTTTTTTTTCTAAATGTGATAAGAGATGACAAAACATCGAAGTACACTGCAAACTCACAACGGCAATCAAAGTGGTGCTCGATCCACTCGTATGCACAGATCCGCAAGCATAACACACTGAGTATGACAATTTATCTTTAGGTCTCCAAGTATAACAATTTATCTCCAGATCTTTGTGGCTATCTATTTATACCTCTGACAGAGTGCTTGTGCCCATAAACTACTTTCAGCTTGATCTGTAACGTATAGAACTGATTCGCCTGGGATCACTAATGACAAATGCATATGAAACGCCGAGTGAATCAAACCATAACGACAGAATTCAAATGCTATGCAGCCTGAACGGATCTTCTGCTTTAACATGGCAGTCTGCAACCGAATCCAAGTACAGAGATTGTTTTGTAATTGCTTTTGGCTTCTTAGGCGACGAACTGCGCGTTTAGAAAATGGACAGAACTTTCTACAGCTTACGGGAGCACCACATCCTCAAACATCCAGCTCTCCGGGAAGTTGGATCGCACCGAGATGTCCTCCAAGTTGACCCCACTGCTTTCGTCGACGCTAGATCTTCCTCGAGTAATGCTGTCCAACTCCGTGCAGCACTCATAGAAGGCGGTGATATTTGACGAGGATTCACTGAGGCCCTTCCGTCTGGCCATCAGCTTGGCTCTCACCGCGCAGGTCAGCTTTGTCGGCCCGGCCAACTCCCTCAGACCCTTCTCGCAGTACTCCCTCTCGTCGCCCTCATATCTACTCACTGAAAAGCGCAGAAAAAGAGACAACATATCACTTAGACACACCACTGATTACTGCATGAAGAACGAAACAAGGGATAGTCGCAATATCTGTGACGCCGCTCAGGATGATCACTTGTCGACCCTTGACAAACATAGACCCAGTGGAATGGCGCTGTACATATAGCTTCAAAGCCATACAGAGGGTCAGAAGTGCGCGAAGAAACTTTTTTCGCAAGAGGAGGCCGCATTGGAAAGGGGTAAGCTTCTTCTTTAAAACTGTGTTCTTTATTATCAACTGGCACATATCTCCACCATCACAATGCTATTAAAGTCTTCAACTGCAAAGCGGCGCAGCGTTTAGCCAACCCAACCTGATATAGAAGAACTTTAACTTTAATACTTACAAATTTGCTCTCTTTCTGTGTCGTTTACTGAGCGCCGGACCCTCCTGTTTTCAGCCGAACATCCAAGGGCTTAACAAGCCAGGAAAGAAGGAAAAGCAACTTCCAGCTTGAGCTTAAGTATTAATGCACTTCTTCCTCCCCGATACCGACAACGTATTGAAAACGAACTTTTATAGGGCACACTTAAACTAATGCTTCATCTTGCACTGGATATGAAGATTTATTAGTTACCCCCAAAATTTAACAGCCATGACATAAACAACGAACAGAGAGGAATTCCATTCCGTAATTCTACCTTAGCTTGGCAATCGTCAACTCTAAACCCGGATAAATGGGCCAATTGGGGATCGGGCAAATAATTTCCTCTAATTTTGTATGGAGGATCAGACTGAGCATTGTTTTCATCCAGATTTCTCCTCATCACACAGAATCCACACAGAATTGCTACTCCAATGCACAGAGAACAGTCATGCGGACGAGAATTAAAAGGCTTCTATAACAAAGTTAGATGATCGATCATACCTTCTCTGTGCGGAATATTAAGGTTGGCATTTGACAGAACTGTAATTCCAGCGTCCTGAGAAGAGAGAAATGGAAATAGACGGGAAAAAAACATTTTGAAGCTTGAAACTTTGTATTTATTTTCACCTCACTCTGAACTTTTAACCAATTCGAACAGTTCGTTTCAGGGTAACTGGACTGAAACAACACGATATGTCCGCATGGAACTGTATCACCGAGTAGTTCATAGCTCAGCCCAAAGAAAGCTGGGCTTGGAATGTGTCACTGACGTTTTCTCTGGCGGGCCTATTATTTCTGGTATTGCTGGGGGGCAACAGAATGGAATTTTTCTTTGCAGAAAACGACTGTCCATTTTGCCATCCATGAAAATTGTCACTTTAAGAACAATGATAGCAACATCTCAATAATGCTGGTGCCTATATTCAACATGTCTCCAGGGTTCAACTTTCCCCCTATCCTACGCTGGACACGCTAACAATCATTTAGACACAAATTTTTATGGACCTTCGACGTAACCTTCTCACAAAACACTCATTTTCCAGAGACATGCATGCCAGCACAAAATGCTAGCTTTACCATGGGGCCATGAAATGTAGATGAATGAAACAAGGAAAGCCCTAGGTTGGATTGATTGAAACTTTGCAGATAAACTGTATGCCATGACATCCATCCCATGTTTTAATTGAAAAATTAACAGTGAACATCTAAGATCACGGGGTTGGAATTTGCCCCTGCGGTATAAGTTGGTCCAAAATAGCCGCATTCCCTTATCAGACTTGAGCTGACGCACGCCCTGATCAGTTGAAAAAGCCAGGCTAGTGGAAAGTCTTCATTTTGGTTGGTAACACATGCATTTATATTCACTCGTGATTCAGAGAGGTGCAGTTTCCACCAAAGAAGCCTTGGTTGTTACGGAAAATTGCGCCCTCTCTTGGTCCTTTGTGGGGCTGATAGGGCTAATCATCTCAAGTTTTCGTCGTGAGCTAAAACAAATAACAAGATTAACCAGCAATACCTTGAAGATGGCGGCTGCATCCTGTCCACCTCCTGGTCCACAGCCTAAATCATACCCGGCCATTCTCTTGAAAACCTAGCACATGACAATATGCCTAACTTGATTAGTATTGAAAGATCAATTTCCGAAATCTCGCATCTTTTCACCAGCGGCTGATCTAAAGGTTGGATGTTTAGGACTTAAGCTAAAGATGTACAGTTGGAATAGCTCAAAGAAAGATGACACTTTGTACATTATTTCAGAAATTTGAATTACGAATGAAAGCATCTTAAGTTCAACATGATTACGCCTCCAAGGTTCCTTTTACGGACTTGGTTTCGGCGTGAAGCAATCTCATCTTTCACCTCTTGATTGAAAAGCTTCTTGCTACAACATGCACCGAACCGGTAAAGTTATCGCAAATACTATCTATGGGGAAACTCGATCATATGACAAGAGTTGACGCAGCAATGGACCTTATTCCTGTGCAGGTCATTTTGATCTTGTTCATCGAATCTACATGTGGTATAAAAATAGTTTACTGGTGAATGGGATGGTAGCCGACTATTTTATTTATTCATGTATTCTTTTACTTTGCAAAATATCACACTGGCATAATGTGGATGACAATTCGTTATCACTTTGTACCTTCTTTTGCGTGAGTCGGTGGTATTTACGAAGCTTGAAAACGGCTTCATCCACTGCAAGTAAGCCGACCCTTGTTCCTCTCTTGCCTGTGATCTCTAAATCAACATTCTGGCCGCTGCGGTCCGACTTGAATACGTCGCCCTCTTGAATGACGGGTGCTCGGAATGATAATCCAATCTGGGCAAACAGATTCATTTTATACACTTCTGAAGTAAACAATACATAGTTTCTTTTTTATCTGTGACAGATTCTTCATTTTCACAAAAGTACCTTTCTAAAATTCACCGCTATAGGCCTTTGTCAATAAAAGAAACCCCAAATAGGCGTACTGAATTCGGCTTGGAAACTTAAATTTGCTCCTAAGCTGCAATCAATCACACATGAACGTTTCATCTCGTGGTCTGGTGAAAATAGAAACATTGTCAAGGCAGTACTGCATTTGCCGTCTGGCAGAAATAAAGAATTACGTTTATTTAATAATCAAACATTCTACGTAAAATGTGTAATTAGCAAGTTTCAGAATGTAACTGAAAAGGGTCCAAAAATATCAGATGGAATTTGGAAGACCTTGTGTTTTTTTTTAGCAAAAAAATTTGATTCATGAATTTGATTCAATTAACAGATACGGAGCACTGACATATGCTCACGGGAGCATTTGTCTAATTGTTGGTCCGGTGAGCAGGTCTGAATTGCCCGACACAGACCTGCTAAAACCCACAGCTCACTAAATCCAACGACTGTGCATGGGAGGTTTTGCTCCCGAATCTTGCCAAGCCCAGCCCGATCCACAAAGTCGAGAAAACATGGCACAAACACGGCGTCACCCACTAAAAAAATATTGGAAAAGGACCAGCTTGCTTACGGGATTCTTGCACTTCTCCTCCACATCGACCAGGAGTGCATCAGTAATGACGCGGCCATCATCCTTTGTGTAGTAGGCGACCACTCGCGCCGAGGGGGCCATGTCGTGGGTAACCATGAAATTTAGGGCTGTGTTCAAGTTGACCAGGTCTTTGGCACCCTTGTGCACTATTTTCCCACCGGCAATTACCTGTCGGAATTAGGGTCAGTGCAGCAATAATACGCATGTGTTTTGTGTCTACCAGTGAGATCAGAGTGCTTCTTTACTGTTTGTTCTTAAATGCTTAGTGGGTTGAAACTGGCATTGGCAGTTTATCATTATAATTACAACATTATCGTGAGCATTTTATTCGACTTTCTAGCTCATTGTATATTTTACAAGCGGAAAATGTTTAATAAATGAGTTTTACTTTCAAACAGAACTGATGGATTTATTTGTCCGTCTAAAACTGGTGTAAGGCCTAACGTAATTGACGTACAGCGAACGTGGTTAGATCATTGAATTTTTTTATACCAGATTCAGTCATCTTCATTTGTAACAAAACTGTCGTGGTCTTTTTCTGGATATTCACGTGGGATTTTTATTAGTGATCGCTTAATGCGGAAGGAGTATTTGCTCTATATGAAATAGACGACAATAAACAGGAGTAACACCACTTACAAAGTAGTTCAATATGTCGACAAGTTGAGGGTGAGTCAGCTGAACTTCTACCGTACTGTGCTTTCCAATCTGACAATAAATACGTATAAATCAAAACTGCCAAAGTTATTCACACTAGGAGTCAAGGCTGGTAGGGATACAAGTAGCGCCTTCCCCGTCAGCGAGGGAAAAAAGGAAAAAATATTGTGGCACATTTTGGGGCAAAAACGACTGTTTCCAAATGACAGGTTTTGAATAACGTTCCAAAGCGTCCCATGAGATGCTGCTAGCTCTCACTTCTCGATTTTTTTCACGGTATGTTTCTACTCTGCCTCCTCCAGAGAGTGTTGTTTACAAAATTCGGCCACACATCTTCAAAAAGATTTTCAAGTTTCGATCTGACGATATGCAAATGCTTCAACGCCAGCACGAACAGATGTCACGTGGGCCTATTCAGAACACTCCGAGACTCCTAAAATCTATCATGCCCTCCACATGCATTTCAAATGTACCATGTATCTCTATGAAATGATTCTGATGCCTTGGGTTGTTTTAGAGCTCTCGTACAGATGGCTCCCATTAATTTAATACTAGAGTGGCTTTATTCTGTTGCAGTGGTCCAGTACTGGCACCTTACGCAACTGATTTGAACATAACAGATTCATTAGTCTCCAAACTACACGGGTACCTGTTGAGTTCGTCTGACATCTCCAGATGGCACGCGTACCACCAGGTATTCGGAAGACAGGGATTGCGGCTGGATAACCGTTGTGTCTCGTGTGTTTGCACCTTCCAAATCTGGGTCGTCTGTCTCCAACTGCACACAACATAGACAACGCATTTGTTTTAGTTTAATGTCAAACAACTGCAATCATTCATTTCATGCACGTTTACTAGTTCTGCAGCCTTGCAACTCGTGTCGACGGGGTTACTAACATATGCTATTCAGTCTGAGGGTTTCTTGAATTTGGACATTCTCAGAAATACGCTGAAAATTTTACATCTGATTTCGTTTAACTGAAAATGCGTAAGCGCGAATATTATGGCACACTGGAATTTTTGGAGGCCCTCACTTTTTGAAACCCATTGCACAGTGAATTGACCACACGTGCCTATTCGCCCTGAGCTGAAGTGCACCCTCACCGGCGAAAGAAAGGCAGATGATGCTACGTTTTCCACCGGATTCTTGCACAGGTGTGGCGTGCACGCGAAGACCACACATTCCAGACTAAATTCGTTGCGTGTTCTCAGCGTGCTCGGGGTCAAACGTGCATAAACTTACACGCCTATGCGATAAGTGCGTACCAAAGGACTGTCACTTTCACTTCAAAACATGCCCTCTTCTGTTCCAGCTCAAAGCAGATTGGATAATCCGCCACAAGCTACAGCACGGAAGCAACAACGGAAAAACTGTACTGCTAAATTTCTAGACTTGAACAGGTCGGGATTTTCTGTGACTTTGTGTGTTTATGCTTTGGATACGGAGACTGCGTTTACAGTCCTGAAAGGCATGTCTGCAGCTGTGTGACATTTCTTGCTTCACGCCCTCTTGTGTCCACTTGTGAGTTCAGACTGACTAGTGACTGGTGACGCACATGTACATGTTTGACATATGTTGTACAATGATGGCTATCAAATGCGGGTGCCTCATATACGAGTTACGCGACAGCCAGAGCGCGACGGGGGTAGCGGGTTAGCGTAGCGGTTTTCCCTCGCCTTGCACCAATGAGGCCCAGGTTCGAGTCCCAGCTTGTACCAAGCTTAAGTGTATTTGGGTTCCAGTCCATACTCGCTCTCGCAGGTTTTCTCCGGGCACTCCGGTTTCCTTCTGCCTCTAAAACTGGACCTTCTTCCTAACTCCGTAACGTGATGCTGATTAACAAATTGTATGAATAAACGTACAGTTATTGGCGCAAATAGCCTGAGATGCTGAAAGCGCCATTGAAACAAAAAACAAACAACAGAGTGTGACGACTGTGTACAAGCTAGTGAAGGGAATGACTAACTGGGAAAAAGCAACATACGTCCGACTTGATTGAGGTCTACAAAATTCCAAACTTCCTGTAGCCCCTTCAAATTCTCCCATTTTGAGGATTTAACGTGTGATTTTTTTGCTTGCCCGAGGCTTACTGTGACGGTTATCTGGGTAGCGTCATCAGGCACATCCAGCCTGAAGTCCACCTCTCCCTGTGCACCCGACAACTTTCGGAGGACATCACCGGCGTCACCTTGCAGGTTGATGTCTGGGCCATTTGTCCGTGCAGCCACAGCCGACGCAGTCACGGGCACACCGTCAGCTGGAAGGCCACTCATGTATTGAAGATTTGCCTGGGAAAAAAAGAGTGCACTGGAAGATTAAAGCTGACCACGAAAAGATAAGCACGTGCATACTTCATGTTGCATAATACTCGTATTACTTCAAAACATGGTCTTGGAGCATTGCCACGGGCAAGAGAATAAAAGATGAATAACAACGGGGGAAAAAACCAGAAAAAATGAAAAAAAAACAACATAAAAGTGACAAAAAAGATGAAAGTAACCGTTTTGCAAGAAAAAAACGAAATGCTCTTTTATGATTGTTTATGGTTTATCAGTTCGTTGCTGATGAGTGTTTTGTCACAGTGGGTAGAAAGGACTTTTTCGTTTCTTCGAAAGAATCTTGGCACAGCCAATGGCCGGTATTCTCATCCAAAATTTATATAAGGTTGACAGCGACATTGTATTAACGTGAATCCCAACAGGGGTATCTGAAATCGATATTCTTTATTGGACGACACAATTGATGTTGACGCCAAGTCTAATTGCTATATTTCGAGTAAAATAATGGTAATACCTCCTAAATGCAACAGCAATGGAAAAAATAATCAGAATTATGTCATTATCAAAAAAGACCCTCTCCCACGGGAGAGCCATTTCTGAATGTGATTTAATAATCTATATTATTCGATATAATCTGTTGTACAGTTTGGTGCCTGACTAATTTGGGTTCCATGCCACACTTGGTTTTTTATTTAAATGTGGCTTTAAAAGGTTTTGATATAATCAATCACAAATATCAAATATTTACTGGCATAAATGACATTAATATATTGTTTTTACAATTGTTTATTGAAGTTTTACTTCATTTTTTTTTACAATTTTCACATGCCAAAATCAAACATGAACCTCCTTTTCGGTTCAATATGGCCGACTTGTAAATAAGAACAACTGCCTAATCAGGAAGCTTTACATCATTCAATATAATAAAAAAAACGCAAAAAAACGATGTAGAGGGACATTGAAGAAGACTATTCTGGAGCCTGGACTAGAACTACAACTAAATCGAACAGTCCACCCAGAGACACACACCTTCACAGAGAACGATAATCCTGGTTTGAAGAACCGCTGGGTGAGGTCCCAGTTGAACTTGAAGGGGGTTGGATTGAAGGTCACCATGGTGTTGTTAGCATTGACGGTCTCACTTGAGGCAATGTCCGTCACAAAGGCCTGGATGATTAGCCGCTTGCCCATCAGTGACAACTCCCAGTTCTCCAATTCCACGTCACCCAAATCCAGGTCCTGGTCGGCCTGGCCTTCCTCGTTCAGCTGTGAACAGAAATTAACAGCTCAACGGGTTTCAACTTAAGCCATGAAAATATTAGCAGCGTTCAATGACTCTTGACAGGTCTGAGCACATGCATTGCATTTGTGTTTTTTTTAATAATCTCTAGGTTTGAGTAACATTGTGTTGGAAGGGTTTGGTGATTTCGAGCGACAGGTGTAAATGGGACGAAACATGACCATCACCGTCTTTCAAATGTTGCCAAAATGGATTTCGTCTATTCTAAGGGAAGAGAAATTAAAGTGCAGCGCTATAATGTGAAATATTACGGTCAGAGTCATGTACTTTCAAAGGTAACCTCACTGCCAGCCTACGTACTCCAGCGTCACACCACTGGACACAGCCCTAATGTGGAATCCACAGGAATGCAACAGCAATCATCGTGCATAAAGTCCAAGAATTTTTCTCTATCTCTCCCGATATACAGTGGTATATCGATAAAATCCTCTCCCATAATCCCGAATTTACCGCATTTATATGTGCTTAGGACAGAAATAAAAGGTTTATGAAAATGTGATATTCTTTAGCAAAAGAAGTGCAAAGAATAATTCTTTATTCTTTGCACTCGGTGAATTCCTTGATAAGATATTTTTTTTCTTTCAGGTGGAGGGGAGAGAGAGGATGTAATCTTTATCCAACTGTTCAATTACGTTTGCTGATCGTCTGTGACCAGAGAGCAAGTTGGCAAAATTAAAGTGACCTGATCTTGAATCAGATTTTACATTCCATGTCAAATCACCGAGGTGGTGTTTTCGTAGGTATAGTTACCCGTCCTTCTTTCGACTGCAGTTTCGTAAAACTCCCGTCATCCTCAAACACTCCATATATCACGTAACAGTTGCCCACGACTGGCTCCCCAAACAGGTACCTGCAATAGGACAAGATGGTTTAAGGGCACCTTCAAGCGACAACCCTGTCCTGCTGGTCGATTTTCCCTGGTAATCTACACTCTGAGTACCTGGCCAAATCAATTAGTTGTTGACAAATTGTCTTTCTATACTCAGACTTGTAATTTGGAAAATATATTTGTAATTTCACTACCAATGCACCACACCAAAATTAGCCCACTAGAAGCATGGACGTCACAGTCAAAAACGGTGGAAAGCTGTGGAAAACGGTGGTTAGTCCTCAGTACAACAATTCAACAAATTCCTAACTTGCAAACAACAAAC